CGTATCTTACAGGGTTTCTCCAATGTTCTCTAATAATTTGATGGTGTCGGGTCGTAGATTTAGGTCTTTAATCCATGTTGAGTTAACTCATTTTTAATGTAGTCCAAACAAGAACTTCTACCTTAAATGATCATGTCAGCTTCATGGTAGAATTTAAACCTCATCAGAAACAGGTCTTATCTATATGAAATGACTAATGAGTCTTTCAGAGTTCAGTTTGCTTATTATTGAGGTTTTGTGAGAATCAAATTCCCAGATGACAGAAAAGTAGAGATGACTGGAGATAGTCTATCCTAGAACACAAGAAGAGTGATGAATGATTGTTTCTAGTAGGTCATTTTAAGGTCATGAATCATGTTTCTTTGCTTGCAAGTAGGAAACTTCAATTCCTTGATATTGATGACTCTGAAGAATTCTTCCCTGGCTATTCAGCAATTCATATGCAGATAACCAATTTGTCTTGATTTGATCCTTCTTTATTTCCCCTCAATGAGGATATAACTATATGCATCTTTAAATGATAAAGCTATACATAATTTGAACATCCAATAAAGTCCTTTCCTATGCTACAGAGGGCAACCTCTGTTTGCTGTTATAGGTTTTCACACTTTCAGGGATATAGTATTTTACATGGTTAAGTTAATGTGATTTTTGGTGATTTACTTAAAGATAGGATTCACAAGAATTCACAGGTTTAATGCGTATCCAGTGACATTAGAACCTATAGGAAACAAAACATTTCCCTTTCCTAACTCTAAGCAAATGGCAATAGCAGACTCAGAGCCATTGTTTTCACTGGGAGACACTGTGAGATAATTACTGCAGGCAGTCTGTTAAGTAAGACAAGAGGATGCAGTTTTGAAGGCTACTTATTGGAAAGAGCATATAAGAATCTAATAAAGCTATAATACAGCAACAATCACTTTAATATTAGATGTTAAAGAGCATCAAGGAAGATTTATATCTTCTCTTAACTTCACCCCGAGATGGTTTCAGATTCAATTGCTGGGTTGTTTTAGAGAAAACCAGAAGTTCAAAAAGGAGAATGTCTTTCAACAGACTTAGGATGATTTAGAGTAGTTTTAATCATCTGCTCTCTCCAGGAAGATTGATGTGACTTAGAAATCAGCATGAACACTGATTTCATCCTTAGAGAGGAGAGATGCTAAAAACTCATTATGAACAAATGCATTTGCATGGAGCCTACTTCACATTCATAGAGCGAGCAGAGATTCACAACATAGAATCAAACAGCATTTAGAATGTAGAACATGCTATGGCTTCTAATGTAATAAACAATTCTTAGAGCCTCAACTCCATTAGCATAAATAAGCTGCTCTCTAACTGGAAACTTAATACTCATCTTAAACAAATTCATAATCTGCATGTTTATGTAAGAAAGTACATTTTAAGTAAAACAGTGATTTCCTCTGTCTGCTTGGGGATTTATGAGCAATGTCTTTATTTTCTGTGTGTAATCCCTCTTCTACTTCACTTTTCACATCCTGAATTTCAGCCAGGAGAGACTATTCCCAATTCTCTACCCGTTGAATGTTTTACGCTCTTTGAGCTGTTGCTACCACTTCCTCATCTACCTAGAATTCCCTTCTTACCATCCAGCATGCATACATCCTAATTACCCTTAAAGGCCCAGTCCAAATATTACCTTCACTTGTCCTTTCAAAAGAAAGGTTTATAATCCTTTTCGAATTCCCATAGCTTTAACATATGCAAAGTGATATGACTAATATAGACTAGAAAATGATATCATTTATTTCCCCTATTAATCCCTCAAAGGCAGGATTGATTCAAAAATTTATCAAAAAATTATATCAAAAATTTGTATCTCCCAAAAGTACTTAAAATACTGCTTAATAGACTTCCCTGAAATTCATCAGAAGCTGAAATTCCAATTACTGATGCTCCTTGGTGCATAGGGGAAAGTATGATTAGGTTCCACCTATTTATTGGGTGTCTACTATGCCCCCAATACTGGGAATACACAAATGAATGAGATCACTTATATTCTATACAATTAGAAAGCAAATATTAGTAGTACAAAAATTAAAATAAGGTGCCATGGTAGTGAATGGCTGAGTGAAGGGAGAGTACACAAACTCAAAATCAAGTCACAAGGAGACAGCCAGCTGTGTAAAGATCAGGGAAAAATAGCATTGCAAGAAAGTTCAGTCAGAATTTAGCCAGGAAACTAAAATTCATCCCAGATATCTCAAGCAGAAACAGATTTAATAAAGGTAATTAAAGGCTCCAAAAATATTTGACAAAACTGTGGGCTCAAAAGTCAGAATTTAGCCCTATCAAGTATACGGAAAATAAACACATGTAGGAATTAAATTTTAAAAACAAAGAATGTTAATTGCATGAGGACAACCAAAAAGCAAATATGGGCAAGAGAAAGATTTGAGATATGTGGTACTCGCAAAGTCTGTAAGGGATGGGACCCAGACCACACTTCCATGGCAGTAAACACATTTCATGAAGAGTTACACAAAATAAAGCAGAGAATGTTGGAATAGATGTAGATGACCTTGTAGGTTATGGATAGGGAAAGGAAAATGTTCCTCTTTAGCAGATTTTAATCAAAGTGATGTGTGAAAGGAAATCACTAGTTGACAATGTCAGGAAGAATAGGTGCAGGGATTTGAAGTGGGAAAAGAACCTAGGAAAGTCATTTGAGGGGAAAAGTAAGAAGTTATGTAAAGCCAAATGGCAATAGTGAGTTCTCACGTGATTTGGAATTCCGATTTTAAGATGAGAGTAGTCATTGCAAAGTTTTTTCCTGCACAAATGTTTACCTCCTGGAGTGCAGGATGAGATAGGCAAGTGGTTTGGCCTAACAAGGCTTGAGACTTTGTCAAGTGAGCCCAAGGTAGGGAGAGAAGAGAATACTATGAGGAAGTTCAAGTGTTAGCAAATACCTGATAGTAATGACGAACAATGGGAGCTTGAAAGGAGAGATGTGAAAATGTAAGGAGGTTAATAGAAATGAGTGGTAGCGTCTAAATTGCTAGATTCAGAGTCCTGGTGTGTGCTGGAAGTACAGCCAAGAGTGATTCAGAGCTAGGGTGAATGTTGAAGAGGATAAGGTCAATAAGTTCCTATATGAGAATCGGTGATCTCAGTTTTTGTGAAGTTACATTAATATGAAAAAACAGTCCAGCGCCGTGGCTCACTAGGCTAGTCTACCTGTGGCGCCAGCACCCCGGGGTCTAGCCCTGGTTGGGGTATCGGTTCTGTCCTGGTTGCTCCTCTTCCAGTCCAGCTCTCTGCTGTGGCCCAGAAAGGCAGTGGAGGATGGCCCAAGTGCTTGGGCCCCTGCACCCACATGGGAGACCAGGAGGAAGCACCTGGCTTCGGATTGGCACAGTGTGCCGGCCATAGCAGCCATTTGGGGAGTGAACCAACCAATGGGAAGGAAGACCTTTCTGTCTAACTCAGTAAAAAAAAAAAAAAAAAAAAAAAAAAAAAAAACACACACACACACACACACACCACACAACCCACCCTGCTCACTCTTATTTGTGATTCAAGCATTCTGTGTGTCTTTATATACTAATGTTTACCTTTTCAAAATGAAGACTTGAACTATAAATCAATAGGATCAATATAAGGTAAAGTAGATGATAGCAAATGGATTATGATTCATTTCTAAAATGTTTAGGAACCAATAGGAGACCCTTTCCTTGAACTGAAACACCTGAAATAGATGAACAATTATGTATGAAATAACAGACTAAATTTCAGCTCCAGGAAAACTCATAGAAAACTAGGTCACAACTGAAGTTCACAGAATCATAAACAGGAAATCATTGCCTTATGCCTCAAACATTGAGTTCCCACGTTGATAATGATGCTCGATGGTAATTATGACACTTACTGAGCCCTCATTATGTGCCAAATACTTAACATAGGACTATTTTTTCATTTAGCTGTTTCAACCTGTTTTATAGATAAAGCAACACAGGCAAGATAAGTGAATTTCTCAAGTAAACAAAGCTAGTAAGCGCAAAACTCTTGACATTGTACTCCAGAAGTCTATATCTTAATGAGTACGATGCATTAACTTCAGTCTAACATATCCTAGAGACAAAGGCATCTGTTCATATCACCCAAGTCAATCTAGTCCTTCCTATTAGCTAACTAGAGATGGGCCTGCTACGATTTACAATGGAGAAAGCAAAACAAGATTCATCAAGATAAGAGAATGGACTGGTCACATATATACTATATGGTCTTGGGCAAGTGTCTCATTGAGTCTAAGTTTAAGATTTGAAAGTCAGAGTTAAGTAGAGAGGAGAGGAGAAGCAGAGAGAGGTCTTCCATCTGATAGTTCACTCCAATTGGCCACAATGGCCGGAGCTGTGCCGATCCAAACCAGGAGCCAGGAGATTCTTCCAGGTCTCCCACACGGGTGCAGGGGCCCAAGGACTTGGGCATTCTTCTACTGCTTTACCAAGCCATAGCAGAGAGCTGGATTGGAAGTGGAGCAGCCGGGACTTGAACCGGCAACCATATAGGATGCCGGTGCTTCAGGCCAGGGCGTTAACCTGCTGCGTCACAGCGCTGGCCCCAAGTCTAAGTTTTCTTATCTGTAAGGACAAGGAAAAAGTCTGAATGCCCTTACCAGCATTAACAGAAAGATGAAATGAGACAACTGCAAAGTTCCTGGAAGATGTTACTCTCCTTTGTCAATGTTAAGGGAGTGTGTCATGTTCATCTTTGTTTCCTTTTAAGTACCTTGCAGATAATAGACCATGGATGATCAGTTGATGACCAGCTTGATGTTATGATAGGAGAGAGAAACAGAGCTAGAGATATACCTACAGATTTATATGCTCCAGACCCATTCTTCAGCCCCTTCGAGGCTGGGCAGCATTGCCTGGCTAGTTTTGGCTAGTGAGCCACGAGTAGAACAATGTGTGTGTATGTGAGTTCTAGCCTAGAGCTTTTAAAGTAACATTCTAGTTCTCATTCTGTTACAGCAATTGTGGAGGACCTAGGCTGAAACAAAAGAGCCACAGGATAGAAGCAGCCAGGATGACAGTCACTACAGGGAAAAATCCTGCCCTGAATTTACAAGGTTTCCTCATGACTTTGAGGTATGATTTGATTTTATTGAGTTAATTGATTTCTGCAGCATAACCATGCTTATCTTGCCTCATCCAAATAGCATTGCTTTTTGGCATATCAAATTGATGAATTCAGAACTGGTCTCAAAATTATGAATAATTCCAATAAGGAAAAACAAAACTTGAACAGAAAAGGTGATTTAGATGAAATTTGGTCATTTCAGCAAGATTCAAAGAACAAGTCATAGAACACTATTCAAAAGGTACCATCTGGTAGCTATGATAGTCATCGTCCAGGGTATTAGGATATTTTATTAGACCTTATTTTATCACAGACCTTAAAATCTTAAGTGTCATTACCTTCAACTCTTTTGTTTATTGAAAGACTGAGGCTCAGAGATGTTAACAGGGTTTCCAGGAGTGACTCAGCTACCCTGGGCCAGTGTTGGGCTTGAATACCCATCAGATCTCCATCAAGCCAGTGTCTACATGCAACCCTACATTCAAGAGACTTTTCCCATTGTTGGCTCCATGAGGATGTCTATGTGCTCTGAAAGAGTTAAAAGTAACAGTTTGAAAAACATTAAGTTCTACAGAGAGCTACACTGAATAAAAGCCAGCAGAGTATTCTATTCATTCCTTGTAGAGAGTGCTCAGCCAGAAAATGTTATAAGATGGAAGTTATCCAGAGAGTCTCAGTGCAATACTTACAGAGCGAAAATAAAAAGAATTCTAGCTACCCAATTGAAAAATTTACATAAGTCTTTAGAGTATTGATGCCAGTAAAGTCAGCAGTTCTCCCAAGAGGAGAATGGGATCATGCCTTAATTCTCTTCATATTTTATTTTTGAAGTGCTACCACTAGGTATATCTGAGTGAGTCAGCAGAAAGTGAATCTTGTTAAAGGGCTCGTCTGTGAAACAGTGTTTATCACATGGTGATTACTTATCTGTTTGGAGCCATTTTCAAGGTTTTCTGCAGTGCCTAAATCTTTTCCATTGCTGCTCCTCCCCCACCCAAACCTACTTTTAAAAAGTAGTTACAAAGCCCCTACCTAATGTGCCAAGAAATTCTTATCTCCCTGCAAAGAACTGGAGATTCTGTTATTCAGAGCAATGTGAACAGCTGTCAGTTCTACACTGTGGTCCCGCTTCTTCAGAGTTTCAGGTGTTTGATTAACCTAGGCCTTTGCACTAGTAAGGTCTTGTGGGCAAAAATAAAACAAGGCCAAAAAAAAAAAAAATCAACAAAAAGCCTGTGGTTACAAGTGATTTCCCCATGAAGGCATAATATGCAGAAGTATCACATGGTTGGCAGAACGGCAGCGGTTTCCAAGAGACCCTGGAGTAAACATTGAGTATATGTAGATTTTCATGTTTTCAGTTTTCTTATTTGGTTTATCAGTGATTTTTTTCTTCATTGAAGAAAAAACCGTAAGTTCAAAAGGATAGAGAAAAATTGGTTCTAATTACCCCTGGAATTTCCAAGTCATTAAATACTATGTAATCACCAAGATTCTGATTGAAACTTCCCCTTCACTATCTTTAGGACTAATGAGGACATGTGGGCTGGTGCTGTAACATAGCAGATAAAGCTACTTCGTCCAGTGCAGGCATCCTACATGTGCACTGGTTTGAGTCCCTGCTACTCCACTTCCAATCCAACTCCCTGTTAATGGCCTGGGAAAGCAAAAGATGTTCCAAGTCCTTGGGACCCTGCACCCACGTGGGAGACCCAGAAGCTCCTCCTAGCTCCTGGCTTCAATCTCATCCAGCTCTGGCCCCTGTGGCCATTTAGGGACTGAACCAGTGGGTGGAAGACCTCTCTGCTTCTCCCTCTGTAATTCCGACTTTCAAATAAATGTCAAAAAAAAAAAGGACGGGGCACATGTATTCATGCCAATGTGTGATTTTACTTTCCAAACTTTTTTTTCTTCATTTATTTGGCACAGAGTTACAGACAATGAGAGAGAAAGGTCTTCCTTCTGTTGGTTCACTCCCCAAATGGCCACTACGGCCAGCGCTGCACCGATCCGAAGCCAGGAGCCAGGTGCTTCCTCCTGGTCTCCCATGCGGGTGCAGGGGCCCAAGCACTTGGGCCATCCTCCACTGCCTTCCCGGGCCACAGCAGAGAGCTGGACTGGAAGAGGAGCAGCCGGGACTAGAACCCCGCACCCATATGGGATGCCGGCACCGCAGGCGGAGAATTAACCAAGTGAGCCAGGGGCCAGCCCCCAAACTTTTGAATATATACCAGTTATATTGTTGCAAGTATCCCAAAGTTTCCATTTGCATTGTTTTGATTAGTGATAAACTTTTTTGTGGGGAGCAACTGGGAGCAACTCGGACTAGACCAAGTTACTGGAATTAAGACTTATTCTATGCATCTGCTTTCCCACAATATGGTGCTGAGAAGGGAAACAGCTTCTACACAGCTGCCTCCAGTTCAACCAATAAGCTGCAGGACCTGCTCCCGATTGGAGGAGAGCAGCGTACTTGGCGTGTGGGTAGCAGAGTTGGGATTGGTGGAAGAGGACTATAAAGGAGAAGAGAGACGGCATGCACCAGGAACATCTAAGGGGAACACCTGTGCAGCCCCCGAGAGAGCCAGCCGGCGGTGTGCCGCTCCCCTGCGGAAGTGGGGAAAGTGGCCAGGGGGAACCGCCCTTCCACGGAGGTGGAAGGGACGGTAGCCAACCCGGGAAGAACCAGCAGCAAACCCGGGGAGTGCCGAGCAGATGAAAGAACAACGCAGGGTCCTGTGTCGTTCCTCCACGAAGACGGGGAGCGACAATTTTTAAATGTTTAGATTTATTTTGAAAGGCAAGAAGGGAGAAAGATGTGGAGAGCGCAATATTCTTCCCTCTAAATGCTTACACCAGTCAGGGCTGGGCCAGGAGCCCAGAACTCAATCCAGATTTCCCATGTAGATGTCATGGACCCATCTGCTTGAACAAGCACCTGCTGCCTCCCAGGGTGAGCATTAGCAGAAAACCTGGGGTTGGCAGCAATGCCAGGACTAGAACCCAGGCACTATGAATGAGATGTAAGCATGTCAAGGGTTGTCTTAACTGCTGCACATCGTGCTTGTTATGTGATTTGCATTTTGCTAGTTACTTTTATTTGTGTGTTTTTCATTGATTTATAACATTTCTTTAAATATTCTTAACCTCTAGTATATGTTAAGCAAGTAGTTTCTCCAGTAAGGTCTATACATTTGAACTTTCTATCACTTCTGACTATGCAAAGGTTTTTGGTTTGTCTTGCAGCCAAGTGTGTTGGTCTCTTATGTGTTGGTCTCCTCTTATGGCTTCTGGGTTTTTTGTTCATGCTTAAAGACCTCCATTACAAAATATAAAGCTGTCATTCTCCCAAGTTTTCTACTGGTATTTTTCCAGGTTTCCCTGATGTCAACTCTGTGTAGACATTCAACCATATTGCTGGCTTTAAACCATATTGGTAAAGAATATAAATAGAGAGGAAGGCTGCTTTGAGTCACATTCTGGCTTCATTTACTACCAACTGCATGACCTTGAACATCTGGGAAGAGATGTGATAATTCAGAGTTATCAGAATTCATTTATTCCTATGAAGTATTTAGAAATGGTGTCTCACGAATTAGCTAGGTAAAGTTACTAACATCTTTTGTGTGAGACTAGCCCAGGCAGAGTTCGACATAGAATCAAAGTTTTGCAAATAAAAAGTTAATCGATTTTACAATTTTCCTCATTCTGCCTTTTCATGAATTTATGAGGACTGTGGCCAAACTTCAATCATTTTTATAACTCTTTAGCACAAATAGTTGTTCTTCTTCTGTTGATCTTAGGGCTCTTAGATGCAATATTAGAGGACTTTGCAGATGGTTTAAACCAACCTGCAAGAGGCTAAAATGTGAACCTCCTTCATACATAATGGCCCATTATGGCCAAAATTCTTTGAAAGGCAATGAACATTTGTTAGCCTTAATGTGTAAATAAGGACCTTAAGTCTTTTTCTCTCAAGTTTTATTGATGTGTTCTCATCTTAAGGCCCCTACCCAGTCATTCAACAATGATTTGCATGGTTATTGAAAAAAGCTCCCCCTGCTTGGCACCAGCATCTCACAAAATAAACCATGTAGTGACGGAAGTACGTTCTTTGCCCTGGAGGAGCTTACAGCTTAACAAGAGGATGAAATTGAAAGACATAGAAATACAAAACCCCCAAGCTCTATTTGACAAAATTGCTAACGTTAGAGAACTGAAGCCAGGAACTACAGCAGTGTACAGCCCAAGTTATCAGATATCCTCTCCTTCCAGCTCACACCTTAGAGACTCAGCTGATTGCTTCAGCTCCATCTGCCATTCACTGCCCTTTGGCCAACGAGTGTAGAAAAGATGGACTTTTCCAAGTCACTCCTATATGTTCTTTCTAGCCAGAGCAGTGAGGCTCTTGGGCTGGCCATTGCAAAAGATACCCGTCTTCCATGTGTGTACCAGAAGAGTTTTGAGAAGCCCTTCTGAGGACCTGAACACCAGCTACTTCTCTTATTTCTGAATTGAATGTCACAAGCTCAACATGACCTTGTTTTGTTTCAATTCCTTCCTGTGGTAACTGATTTTTGCTTGGTAGATGGACAATACCTAACTAGAGAAGATGGTTATGAACAAAGGATAAAAACACTACCATTTCTCCAAAATAGCATCCTGACTAAAACTAGTAGACTTGGGGCAACCAGTGGGCATGTTGTGTGAAACAGACAAGTAGGTTTGCTTGGCTGGAAGTAAAGAGGCATTAGTAGGTCAGACCAATTTTGTGGTAAGAACAATTTGAAAAGGACCTGGAAGCCTATGAGTAGACATTTGGGTTTTATTTTATGGAAAACTTGTAGCTTTGTATTTACTTAGAAAGGGAGTATTCTGATCAACATGACACTTTGGTGAAGGTATCTCATACTTCATATCAAAGCAAGGATGTGTAATGTGAAGGGTAAGAATGGGACAGAATGAGAAATATGCCACTTGGGAGTCTGGCAATATTCTGGGAAAAAGAGGCTCTGGCCTAGCAAGGCTTACAGACCACATGAAGGAATAGATGGAGTGGCTTAATTGGAAAGCAATAACCAATGAACTCTAAACATTCAATAAGTTAGAAAATACAGCAGAAAAACGCATTCAGAGAGGTAACCGAGGAACTCAGAGATAGGATATTAGTATCCTAGGGCTATTGCAAGAAATCATTACAAACTTCAAGACTTGAAGCAGAAATGGATTATCCCAAAGCTGTGGAGGCCAGCAGTGTGAAATTAAGGTCTCAATAGTATTTCCTTCTTGAGGCTTGGTGGCAAAGTTTGTTCATCTCTCTAGCTTCCAGTGGTAGATAGCAATTTTTGCTGTTCATCACTCATATGTGTGGGGAGCAACTCGGACTAGACTAAGTTACTGGAATTAAGACTTATTCTATGCATCTGCTCTCCCACAATATGGCGCTGAGAAGGGAGAAACAGCTTCTACACAGCTGCCTCCAGTTCAACCAATAAACTGTAGGACCTGCTCCTGATTGGAGGAGAGCAGCGTACCCGGCGTGTGGGTAGCAGAGTTGGGATTGGTGGAAGAGGACTATAAAGGAGGAGAGAGACAACATGCACCAGGAACATCTAAGGGGAACATCTATCTGAAGGAACACCTGTGCAGCCCCCGAGAGAGCCGGCCGGCGGTGTGCCGCTCCCCCACGGAAGTGGGGAAAGTGGCTAGGGGGAACCGCCCTTCCACGGAGGTGGAAGGGACAGTAGCCAACCCGGGAAGAACCAGCAGCAAACCCGGGGAGGGCCGAGCAGACGAAAGAACAGCGCAGGGTCCTGTGTTGTTCCTCCACGAAGACGGGGAGTGACATAATGGTGCCGTGACTCGGATATGAAGCCTAGGCAGGGTTCAGTGTCGTTCCTCCATGAAGAGGAGGAGCGACAATATGTGCCTCTGTCATGTGGCTTTCTCCCCATGTCTTGATCTTCCCCATTTTCTGTCTTCAGAACTACATTGGACTTAGGGTGCCATTTAATCCTCCCCTACCCTCTTCTTCCTCTCTACTCCAGGCATGTAACCATGGAGTGTGGAGTTAGTGATCAAAGTTTGAACATGAGGCAACTTTTTGGATGAAAAATAAATTGTTAAACAAGGGGTAACAGAAAGAAAAGCACCATGGGCCAGAGTTGCCAATATTGAACTTCTGCTTCAGCCATCCTAATTCAGGACTATCTCATCAAGATTACTTTAAGTCTGTGAAGACCTTTATGTTTTAAACATGTCATTCTGAGGTTCCAGTGGACTTACATTTTGGAGAGCCAGTGTTCAGCCTAATACAGATTGTTCGGAAATACTCAGGTGAGTGAGACTGAAGAGAGGGTCCACGCTGAAGGTCATCAGCATTTGAGTGCTGGTTGAGACTGAAACAATGGATGAGAATCACAGCACGAGGCAGCCAGGGAGCCAAGATCAAAGCCTGGGAACATTAATATTTACTTGACAGTAAAAAGTTGTCTGCAGGGGCAAGAAGACAAAGACATGTTGCTTCAAAGAGAATCAGAGTAGCACTTTTATGGGTTCTCTATAGCCATAGGTAATGTCTCCTATGTTCCAGGCACTTTAGTAGTTGTTTGATGTATTTAGTTCCCCCAAAACAAGTGTTCATAATAGGTATTTTAATCTCCATTTGGACCAATAAAGGCTAGGGAATTTTAAATAACTTGAACAAGATTCAAGAGCTAATTAGTGATGAGCTCAGAATTTGAACCCATATTTGTTCAATTCCAAAACTGTTAGTTTTCCTTAGTATTGCTTTATAGCATTTCAACAAGAGGAACATTTGAAAATAAGGAAGCGATTTAAGATACCAGGCATGATTTTGAGTTGGTACCTCAAATCTGTTAACTTGTCCCTACATAGAATTCTATTTGAGGAGACAGTGGAGTATGGTGGTGTCAAGTTTAATGAGTTGTCTCATTTTTCCTTGCAGAAAGTCGTGTGACAGAATGGTGACCAATGAGATACAAGAAGAAGTTTCCAGGTTCAGAAAAAATCCTTAAGAGTTTTCTAAGCTGGAAGATGCCCTTGTGATCCACCCCCTTTCTTGCTAATTCCAGACATGTATTTGATGGCTGGAGTTACAGTGACTTTGATTATGGGGCAACTGTTTGGATGAGAGTCAAGCATGAAACAGGGTGAACAGAAAGACCAAAGGATCTGGGGCCACTGTTGCTACTTCTGAGCTTCTGTACCAGCTCTTCCCAGGAAGAACGCTTCGTCTTCCAAACTCAGCGATATGAGAGGAAAGAGTCCCCTAACTTGTTTCAGCCATTGTTTTCCTGGACTCTGTTATGAGCCACACAAGTACTCCGTGAAGTGGTCCCTTCCCATAGTCCGAGATGAAAGGGAAGGACAAGAGGGCAAAGTGATTACACAGAAGTTTCCAGACAGGAGGAAAGATAGTTAAGGGATATTAAACTCATGACTTCAACTTTTAGAATGAAGTAAGAGGCAGAACTACTGAAATTGAATATGGTAGGACTTGAGGTAGGGAGATTTTTAATCATTTTAATGGTGTGCTAGAATGAAATACTGTCCTAACTGCTGATCTAATATACTTTGCCTACTTTGTGTTATAACCTGTCTCTGGGAAAAAATGGGTAGCATTTCTTCCATACCGAACATAAAGAACATTTGTTTTTTGTAGTTGTGCAGACTAATTCCATTTTGGAAGCTCATCGTGAACCTTTAATTTTTTTAGTGGTAATAACCTGTAAGCCAGTTCAACCTGAAGAACATTCCTTTTTTATACTTCAAAAGTGCTAGTGGGACCTTACTTGACCAAAAAAAAAAAAAAAAAAAAGGCTTCAAAGTGGATCTGGAGGCAGTTTGACAACAAGTGAAACTTTGAGGGTAAACATTAGCTGTCACCCAAAAGAGCCTCTTCTCCAGCAGGTTGAAAGTGATTGAGATGAGAAGATGTCTCGAAAATGACTGAAGTTTTCCACTTCCCTTTGACTTAAGTGCTTAATTCCTTAAGTCAATTTTTCAGTATACCTGGACTAATCAATATCCTCAAATTGTTATCATTAACCTCTTGGCTACCATCCCTACATCCACTGCCTCTTGATTTATGCCCAAATGAGGGAACTTGTAAGGTGAATTTTTATTTTTATCAGAAATGGCTTTGAGATTCTGTTGCGTTATTTTCCTAACAAGGTTTCATATTCATAGGAATATATCTTCTAGAGAAATTTTCTCCCCAAAGTGCTTTGATAGTAATCATTCAACCTGCGGCTTTAACATACACAGCATTGAAAAAACATGGGAGAGAATCATTGTGAAATCTGCATCACCAAATAAAGTGACATACTAATATGCACATGTCAAGACTAAAAAAAGAACAATGTTAAGATTACACATGCATCTTGACTGAATTTTTCAAAATCACTTTCTAGTTCTTGGCAAACTGTCAGGGGTAAGGATAATGTCCCACTCATCTTTGTGTCCAACATCAAACTGACACTGTTCCTACCATAAAGCAAAGCCTCCATAAATGTGTATTGAATGAATTCTAAGTAACTGATAAATAGATGCTTAACACAAAATTCCTTCCACAAGCAAGGCCTAGGTGAGGCATTGGGCACTGGAATAGAACCAAAGGCTATGAAACCACAGGTTCTACCCAGAGCTCAAAAACACATGTCTAAGGCATTACACACAGCACCATGTGATCAATGCTTCAATATAAGTAAATATCAGATACAAAGGGAGGATGTAGTAGGAAACAATGTTGGAATTTAGAGGTTGATGGGAATACTAATGGAAATTCTAAAGCAGTTGAGTTTTTTGTTTTATATTGGTAGTGATTGGTGGTGCCAGTTACCAAAATATAGAATACAGAAGGATATACAGGAACAAAAGGCCTCGAGTTTTAGGCACACTAAAGTTAATACTTACAGGGAGATGTGCAGTAGGAAATAATGTCAATCTACTCTAGAGAGATAGGGCAGAACTAGAAACAGTATAGGGCATCCTTAAGCCCATAAAAAGGGTATTTAAAATCCCAGCAATAAGACCCCCCAGGAGAAGCACGTGGAGCCACCTACTTCTATGGCTGGGTCAAATGACTACTTAAGACAGGTAGTATCCCAGCCTCAATGACACATGACCCACCAACACCCACACTACCCTGCTTGCTGAATGGCTGGCTGCATAGGCCTTGATTTTCTAACCATATTTGTTAATGAAACAGAAGGTTTTGTGCCTCCCCAAACCTAGTCTTTTGGGCAGGTAAATACTCAATGTTTGTCGAAACCATTTTGAAAATTAGATAATGCAGGCTAATAGACAAGGAGTTTTTGCAGATGGTACTCCACAATTACTATCATCCCAAACACCAAGTATATTCTTTAAAAAAGAAAATTCCAAATTAGCTAAGGGAGCAGAGATAGCATAAAAGAAATCAGGCATACTCTATGAATTTTATAAAAGTTCCCAGCCAGGAAACCAGGTTTTTCCCTTAAGATAGGTCCTATTATGTAAGTCCAAATGCTATGTGAATTCTGAGTGAAACTCTTCTTGGTTATATTTATTCTTGTATCCAAACTTAAACTTTCACTTTTCTAGAACTGAAATGAGATTCTATGATCTGTAATTTCTCAAGTCTCCTTTCATTTCCCCCTTTACCTTGATGTGTACGCCATGAGTAATTTTTCCTCCAACCTTCATGAAGGGTTGCAGTTTATACAGAGGATGCATTGTGTCCTCACTGACAGTGCCATTGTTCGCTTAATTCCCTCAATTTTGAGAATACCAAAGAGAAGTGATTTACTGTATCAGAATTACTCAGTATTCCACAGAATACGTACAGAAGGACTCTATTCTTAAAGACACACTTGAATTTGCCATGAAGAATAGCTATGCTATAGAAATTTAAGGATTTTAGTTTCTATTCACTGAGCAAGTTTTCCCCCCACTAAATGTGGCTTTTCTGGCCATAGTTTGCAAAAATTTAAAGTATTTCGCAAAACTGATGAAATCTTTACTTAATATATTAAATTAATCTTCTGTATATAAAAGATAATTGAAGATGAATCTTGATGTGAATGGAATGGGAGAGGAAGCGGGAGATGGGAGGGGTGCAGGTGGGAGGGGAAGTTACGGGGGGAAGCCATTGTAATCCATAAACTGTACTTTGGAAACTTATTTACTAAATAAAAGTTAAAAACAAAATTAAAAATATTTCATCTTATTTAATGACACTTAACATTTGAATGTCACTTTAGAACAACCTCATTCACAGTTTGGATTTGTGCCATGAAATTCAGATACTACCCTGAAACTGGAGGGCAAAAGCTTGGTGAGGGAGTTGAAGATTCTAGCACATGGCAGGGCTCTAGTACTCAATAGTGACAATCACTCTTTTGCTCAAGTTGAATAATGAAGCAGACATGGGTTTTTGTTGTTTGTGTCTACCTAACACCAGTTTCTTCTGGCAAAAACACGCCTCGATGTGATGGTGTCACTCCCATGCCTACTTTCATTTCATATAGTTCAAGTGGAGTTGACTTCCCCATCTAGTCTTTTTTTTTTTTTTTTTTTTTGACAGGCAGAGTGGACAGTGAGAGAGAGACAGAGAGAAAGGTCTTCCTTTGCCGTTGGTTCACCCTCCAATGGCCGCCGCTGCAGCCGGCGCACCGCACTGATCCGATGGCAAGAGCCAGGATCCAGGTGCTTTTCCTGGTCTCCCATGGGGTGCAGGGCCCAAGCACCTGGGCCATCCTCCACTGCACTCCCTGGCCATAGCAGAGAGCTGGCCTGGAAGAGGGGCAACTGGGACAGAATCCGGCGCCCCGACCGGGACTAGAACCCGGTGTGCCGGCGCCGCAAGGTGGAGGATTAGCCTATTGAGCCACGGCGCCGGCTCCCCATCTAGTCTTAAGAGTAGATAACTGGAGATGAGCCAAAGACTGGCATTATTCTGGCCATACTGCTTGATTTAAAGACAGGCACATCATTCAAGCCTGACTAGTAACACTCAATCCTAGATTTTTTAGGAAATCCTCCAACATAGCCTTCATAATGGTCATTCTAAAGGATTATGTGGTATCTTTAATCATAGTCTAGTAACTTTCATTGTAGTCAAGCTTGAATCAAGTTTTTATGATAGCCTATTAAGCCATCATAATCTAATTCCTACCTACCTCATTCATCTGTTTGTCATCTTTAAAGATTTGAAAAAAAAAATCAGTTACACAGAAATCTTCCATCCACTGGCTTACTCCTCAGATGGCTGCAACAGCCAGGACTAGGCCAGGCCAAAGCCAGGAGCCAGGAGCTTCTTCTAGATCTCCCACGTGGGTGGCAGAGGCCCAAATATTTGGGTCATCTTTCATTTCTTTTCCAAGGCCATTAGCAGGGAGCTAGATTGGAAATGAAGCAGCCAGGACTTGAATCAGGGCTCATACGGGTTGTTGTGTTACAGGCACCAGCTTAAACCACTACTCCATGACACTTGCCCTTAATATGTAATTTCTTGATATTCACTTTGCTCTATATCAGACAGGCTGTTGCTGGTTCCCACCTTAGAGACCATGTACTTTCTATTTGAGATATTCTTTTCTTAGATCATTCCTTGGTTGCTTTGTTCTCAAAATGATGTATGTTTTTAAGTTGAATGTCCCAACGTATATAGGCCTTCTTAGATGACCAAAAAAGTAGCTATCACATTTATTCTCTATTGCATTATCCTATTATCTTTTCAGATTAATTACAAAATTATTTTGTTTGCTCATGCCTTTATTGTCTCTATCAACAGAAAGTAATTTGAGGCTATGGCACTAATTATCTAGTTCACCATTGAATAGATTCCATATTCCCGGTGTCCCAAGCTCTCAGAACCTGCTTGTTGACCAAGTTCTTTGCGGGGCCTGCTTGCTAACCTAGTGGAAAATAAGTGAGGAGTTTCTAATGTCAGTTTCTCAGCTAACAAGGCCAACATGGGGATAAGGAGAGCTGAAAATAGATTTTCAATAGCATAATTGAATCCAGGTACCTTCATATATTGGTGATACAAACCAATATGTTCCCCTTCATGCTTAATTCACTTTGAGTTTGGTTTCTGTCTCTTGTAGCCAGCAGAATCCTGACAGGAAAGCATGTGAAATAACTTATGAAGAGCAACATACTCATCAGGGCTGGGTTCTTATATAATGTCCATTTCCTGTCACACCACACTTCTTTCTATATTTGTCTTTAGCTGGCCAAAAAGGATTAAAATAACTTATTTGAGGACATTCAGATGATTCAGCATTGGAAACTTGAGATTTGTCTAAAAACACGTGTAGCCAGAACTTTTATTGTTATTGCAAAGGTGAATTGGTTGGGGACCTCTCCTAAATGTGATAGAGTAGTTGTGCTGGACATATTCTCCCACCAAAATAACTATAGTGTAAAAAATATATAAGGTGACTATTTAGGCACTGTACAAAAGATAACACTGCAATCTAAAGGAAGTGAGATAAGTGCTTGACATAGTGGTTAAGAAGGCAGTTTTTACCTGTTAAAGTGAAATGAACACTATGAGAAACGGTGACTTGATCAGCCCTCACCCTGACTGTTGATGAGCAGCTTAGTATGTTATCCCTCTTAGTATTTTTTTTGTTTGTTCTACTTAATGCTTTTGGTTGAATACTGTAATCAATACACAATTCTTAAGTGCTGAAACTTAACTGAAAAGTGATCGCTGTTAAATATAAGAGTGGGAATAAGAGAGGGAAGAGATGTGCAATTCAGGACATGCTCAAGCTGACTTGCCTCAAACGGTGGAGTTAGAAACATACCAGGGGATTCGAATTCAATCCCATCGAGGTGGCATGTGCCAATGCCATCTCACTAGTCCCAGTGATCAATTTCTGTTCACAATTGATCATAATGATAGGACTAAGAACCAAAGGGATCACATAAACAAGAATAGTGTCTGCAAATACTAGCTGATAGAATAAAAAAAGGTAGAGAATGATCCAACATGGAAAGTGAGATACACAGCAGACCCATAGAATGGCAGATGTCCTAACAGCACTCTGGCCTCATAATCAGCCCTTAAGGCATGCAGATCCGGCTGAAATGCCCATGAGAGTATTTCAGGCATGGAAAGCCAAGACACTCCGGGGGGGGGGGGGAACCTAAATGAAAGATCTCCATGAGTGAGATCCCAGTGGAAAGAACGGGTCAAAGGAGGAGGTACCTTTCTCTGAAGGGAGGAGAGAACTTCCACTTTGACCATGGCCTTGTCTAAAAATTATCAGAGTCAGTGAACCCAAGGGGCTTCCATAGCCTTGGCAGCTCATGACAAGAGCCCAGGGCGATTACTGATGCCATAAACAAGAGTGTCAATTTAAGTCAACAACAGGAGTCACTGTGTACTAACTCCTCATGTAGGATCTTTGTCCTTAGTGTGCTGTACATTGAGAATTAATGCTATAACTAGTACTCAAACAGTATTTTTCACTTTATGTTTCTGTGTGGGAGCAAACTGTTGAAATCTTTACTTAATGTATG